CCCGCATCAGCGCCGCGTCAGGAGCTGTCCGCGCCCCCTGTGCTGAACCAAGATGGCCGGCGGCGGCCGGGCCCCGGCGTGAGCCCCCCGAGCGCGGGCTGCAGCCCCGGAGATGCCCCAGCCCAGTGGCCACTGAGCGCGACCCGACCGGGCCGGCCGGCGACTCCAGAGACATGTCTCTACTTTGCGTTGGAGGTAGGAGACGAGGCTGGGGGTCTGGGGACCCGTGTGGACGCAGGCTGGGCACCTGAGGGGTGACCCGACTCCACGCGGCTGGACTTTTGAGGGGGTAGCCCTGTGTCGACGCGGCGGGGCGCTTGAGGGGGTGAGCCCCGTAGAGGCGGCTGGACTCTCAGGGGGGCCTGGTGGGGGGTCGTGTGGAAGCGGCTGAATGCGGAGGCACGTGTGGACGCGGGCAGAGAGTGGGGGGTCGTGTGGAAGCGGCTGAATGCGGAGGCACGTGTGGACGCGGGCAGAGATCTGGAGCTTTATCAGAAAAGGTCTAGACTGTGTAGACCGAGTTATAGGGGGTCCGAGTGGTAGGGGCCGGAGTGGGTAGTTCGAGTGAATCCTGCGGGCTCCTTGGAAGGAGTCCTGTGCTGTGGACTGGGCTGCGGGTCCTCATAGAGGCGGGCCCAGCTCGGAAGTCGAAGCGGGGTGCAGTGGGAGGGGTCTCCAAGCCCTGGGGATGTAAGATTTGGGGGGGTGGCCTTGGCCATCAGGACAACTACGAGTTTTAGGAATGCCCCCAGCCTTGGGCCGTGGAGAGGACTGAGGGGCGGGGGAAAGGCAGGGAGCCAGGGAGATCACCCCCCAATGTCTAGAGAGGGTTATGGCTGAGGGTCTGGGGGCGCTTTTCCAGTTAACTCTTTGACATCCCTATTGGGGGTTGGGGGAATGGCCTGAGAGTCTTCCCCTTCCTGCTCCCTTCCGGCCTCCCAAACACATACCCGTCCTTCTCGGCAGGGAGCCGACCCTGGTAGAGCAGTGTCCCCCGGTCCCCCGCCCAGCCCATCCTCGCCTCACCCACTTTGCGCTGGAGGGAGGAAGGGAGACGTGGTGGGGGAGCTATTTTGGGGCCAGAACGCCATCTGCACCGAGGCCCACGCCCAGGCCCACGCTCTGCGTTGGGATGGGGGGAGGGAGAGAGACGCGGAAGGGGCATAACCCTCCCCACACCTTTATGACTAGGGTGGGGGAGAAGCCAGCCCACACGGACCCAGGCGTCCAGGGCAGTCCTGCTGAGAACTCACGCTCTGGGAGACCTTGGGCGGCAGGGGTGGCGGAGGACCGGGGTTCAAGGCCTACGGAGCTCTGAACCCTGGGTCTTAAGGACCGGGGTCCGCCTCCCTCCCTTCTGCCCACTCCAAGAATGCTGGGGTGGGGGAAGGGGCGTGTCAGCCAAGCCTGAGATGTCAGGTGTTGGGCAACCTTGGGCGACGGGGAAGTGGGTGGCTCTGTGCGTGCGCGCGCGCGGGCGCTGCCTGGACCCCGGGTAAGCAGATCAGAGAGCCGGGAACCGCCCCCGCCGCCCCCCTC